TCGGTTAGAACTCGATCGATTGTTCGAAATGGTCGTCAATGGGTCCCTTCTCTTTGCTCGTCTACTCTACAGCCACACGCCTAGCGTGTGTTAACCCTGTCGAGGAGTCGAGTGGATTCCCCTAGGCACGATTTTCGCTCGGTAAAAGGGGTTGCCTCCCCATTTTCTAAATTGCTGAATGTTAGCTTTTAAAAAATGTGGGTATCCTCTTCTTTTACCGTCTATCAGCCTTGTGTACTGCGCTAGTGATATAGCATCCGTGCGGGTCACTTGAAATCGTGCTTAGCGGGTCCAGGTTCGATACGAGATAGGATAATTATGCGCGAAAAAGAGCTGGTGAACTTTATTTTCCTCTATTCCGTCAATCGTTTCGTCTTCTTTCCGGTTCGGGTCTAATCTTTGCTCGTTGTATCGTTGCATTCCCGACCTGTTGGCTCGAATTTGATTCTCGCGAAATGAAATGGGATTTTCGCTCGTACCGAAACCGGGAGTGCCCTACACAGTATATATATATTAAATATATACATCGCGCGACCAAATTTTTAATCCGAATACCGAAGTAGTGCGGGAGTGCCGTTTAGTATCGCGCGTAAAATAACGAAAATAGCGATATAAAAATATCGCTCGTGAGTGCGGGAGTGCCGTTGAAAGTATCGCGCGTCAACAACATGAGAGGAGGAGGAGGTCTGGGAGAGGCATCTTGCATCGGCGGAGCAACCTGATGGTGAATATTATTATATTATTTGTATATCAATTGTTATAAATCGTACGCATAATAATTCGATCTTATTATTTAAATGAATTAAAGAGAAAATTAGAGAGAAAGATTTTTATAAAAGTTATATAAAACTTTTTAAAAAACTTTCTTAAAAAACAGTTTTAAAATTTTATAAAATTTTTCCACACGTGTTTATCTCTGCTTATTATTTTACAAATCGGATATAAAATTCCGCGCGATAAAAATTTTTTGAAATATTGATTGCATTTTGTGAGCATTAATATAAATGAATTTTATATTTGTATGTTACAGACAACTAGCTTCGATAACAACAACTCCGCTGTTGCGCATCAGTGTCGGTGAGTGAGAAAAACTTTTATTTAACTTTAAGGTAACGGATTCGTAGAGATTGTAGATGTAGATTGTAGATTGTAGATTGTAGATTGTAGATTGTGAATTGTAGAGTAAGTCCGTTGCCTTAAAATGGATGAGCTAGGATAGATTAAATTAAATAACTTTTAATAAATTCTTTCGAAATGCTTTGCATCTATTGCGAAAATATATTGAAGTATTAATTTAAAAAAGAGAATCAAGAAAAGAAAATTTTTTTTGTAAAGACTTGACTAGTTTATTAAATCAAGAGCACGCATTAATAATTTTAACAATTTTATCAATTTTTGATACTACTTTATTCTTATAACGCGCACTTATTTTATTCTAATTTCTTATATCATAGCTCATCCATTGTAGAATTTGTTTGTAGATATTGTTTTTAAATTTTACTTTAACTTAAAATAAAGCCAAACGATTAATTAATTAAATAATTTGTAATATCATAAAAGTTATACACATACATAAATTTTATATTTTATTAGAAAATATAGTATATAGAAATTTGTAGTAATTTGGCTTTATTTGAGTTAAAATAAAGTTATATTCAAATATTTAAGAAACGATCGTAAAATCGAGCGATCGTTATGATGAGCGTGAAATATTTACGCTCATTTGCCGGTAATTAATCGGCAAAAGAAGGAGTGTTTATCTCCTTTTTCGATCTCTGATTAGAGATCGAGCGAGAAAGTGGCCAGAATCAACGAAAAGTAAGTTCAATTGGCCTGAAGAAAAGCTTTACGTACAATAGTACGTAATGTCGGACATTTATTCACGCGGTTAGGGCATGCGGTTAAAGAATGTAATTAGGGCACGTAATTAAAATATACGTGATTAGAGATAGGCTTTCCTCGAATAATTTCACTTAATCGAGAAATAGGATTGTTAGGGCTATTAGGTGATCATTAAGATTTTTTAATTTTTCTTTCAAAAAGTAGAGGATTGTTAGAGCTATTATGTGATTAATTTAGCTGATTTTATATTATGTATCTTTTAATGAATCAGGAAATGTAGGTTTAAATAATATTAGGGAAAACAAATTAATAAATATTTCAATAATTATATTATTAATATTAAGAATTTTTTATGGATCAATATTTTTTGAGTGTTTTTTAAGAGAGTTTTTTTTCCCCACGTAAAAAAAAAGGATTGTTAATTTATTTTGTATGACATTTCAAATTATATAATATTATATTTTACATTAACTTTTTGTATTAAATTCTGTATTGAAAGAAAATGAAAAATTTTGCCTTCTCGATGATATCTCCATCTTAAGGAAGACATTTGCCGACTGAGGAGGTTTGAGTATTTTAATGAACCTGAGAGCTATACCGCGGTAACATACATCGATATTCGTATAGACTTTTCTTATATTTAAGATAATTTTAAGTATGATCTTAAATATAAAAATGAGTTATGAATACCGATCGTAATTATTGATAGAGTCATCTATGCCGGACAAGTCGAAGTTGAAGTGTCAGACTAAGAGAAATACCAAAATTATATAAATATTTGTTATATTAATTATATTAATATTTTTAAAATGAATGAAAAAGGAACAATAATCGAGAAAAAGACAACTACAGTGATTTGAATATCTATACCTGAGAACAAATGTCCATAGAAAGTATTTCGATGGACTCCATAGGAAGGAATGACAAATGATGATAATTTTATAATTTTAACACAAAGGAATACAATAAACCATAATAATCCAAGAACTCGAAGAAGAGAATATATTGGATAGAAATGCATAATGATTGAAAATAATTAGGAACTAAAAGACAGTTGTACAATCTATTTATTAATAATAATACTATTTTGTAATTATATTAAATTTTATAATTTAGTACATTATATTATATAAAATATTAAACATAAAAATATTATGCTGGTAAGAAAATTATAATAAAAGTATACAAATAATGTTGACTATATTAGAATAGAACATATGAATTCTTTATATTTTATATAAAGGAAGAGATATTTAAAATATTTTGCAACATATATTTTTCGAATCTTAATTATAAAAGCTTCAGAAGAATCAGTGATTACTTTAACAAATTCTATACATGTATTAATAATTACGTTTTTAAATATTTAAAAAAAAATGATTGATAAATATCAAAGATTATTTTACTGCTAATTAAAAAGATTTATAGAAAATACGGTTAAAAAGGTTTTTATTCCACAACAGACATTTTGTTTTTTTGTAAATAAAAATATATAAATATGACATTGAATGTATAGAAAAATATTTATTTATCTTTGAACATTACATTGGAAGATCACAGTATTTTTCGATTGAAGTCAAATTTTAATTTCTTACTTGTGATACGACATAAATAGATATGATCAATTAATTAAATAATAATATATTAATTTTTCAATGTTAACATATCTTTCGAAAAGAGATAATAATCTGTATTTATGTACACATAGAATATATATATGTAATTCCAGCGCGTGTATTCATGTAATGTTTTAAATTGATATATATATATTATATATTATATATATATATATATATTTAACATAACGCAGATATTTCAGAATAAAGTGAGCGTATATACTATATATACATATAATATATANAGCCTTCTTTGAAAATGGATACATTACGTAATGCATTCATACACATTTTCTCATAAAGGCTCAAAGGCATTATATTTTAGATGCGCCCAGCTCGCGAAAAATTAAATGCTGTAAAGATCACGTAGGATATTGCGCATGTGAAAAATGTGAAGTCATTGGCGAATATATTGATAATAGGATGACCTTTGTTGAGCTTAACGAGCCTTTGAGGACAGATGAATCATACAATAATCAAAAGCAACCATATCACCATACTGGTCACTCACCATTGGAAAAAATTGGAACTGGCCTAGTATCACAGTTTCGTCTTGATGGAATGCACTTGATTTTCCTAGGTGTTATAAAGAGATTACTTTTGACTTGGAAGATGTGCAATGGGCCGTGGAAATTGCATCGGAATACTATTGCAGCTATTTCTTCGGAATTAATATCATTGAAACCTTCATGTCCTCAAGATTTTAATAGACCTCCAAGATCTCTTGCAGAAATATCTTTTTATAAAGCTACAGAGTTCAGAAGATTCTTGTTGTATGATGGAATATTAGTACTAAGAGATTATTTGGATGAAAACATTTACAAAGCATTTTCTTCTTTTACATTGTGGAATATATATCTTAAGCAGCCCTGTTTTAGTAAAATCTCATTGCAAATATGCAGGTCAATTGTTAAGGACTTCATTAACATTCTGTTGTTATTTATGGTGCAAGATTTGTAGTTTATAATGTCCATTCTATGTGCCATTTAGAGGAAGAGTGTCAGCAACATGGCCATCTGGAAAACTTTAGCGCATTTGTTTTTGAAAATAAATTGCAAGGTATAAAAAGATTACTCCACTCTGGTTATAAACCATTGCAGCAGGCTGCTTATCGTGACTTAGAAAAAAGGACCAAAAATGTAATTCTTGAAAAATGAAGAAAATCATGTTTTTCTTTCTATGCAAAGAAATCATCCTGTTAATGAAATCATTAATGGCATCCAGTATAAAAAAATTACAGTGAATAACATTATATTCAATGTAAACAATAAGATTCTCATGTTTTAAAACTTTGATGGCGAAATTGCCATTCTACACAATATTGTGCAAAGACAAGACCAAATATATTTTGTAGGCCATTTTTTTCTCAAACTGGAAATGCATATGAATATCCTTTGTCTTCAGTTGAACTTGGTATAGTACGAGTATCACATTTGAGTATGGAAAAGCAAATCGTTTTATTAACTAATATTGCAGCAAAATGTTGGCCAGATGGAAATTCATTTGTTTGTGTTCTCTTTTGCATACCATTCCTTATTGAAGTAGCTTAAAATATTTTTAAAAAGATTATTTCTCTCATCATTACAGCTGTATTGTTATACTTTTAGGTTCGCTATTTTTATAATTATATACATTTTTATGTTTGTTCTTTTACGGTATATGGCTTTATTTTAATGTATGCTTAACATTTTTTTCAGTTTGTTGTGTTCAAATTTTTAACTCATAAAGGCCGCGAGCTGACACAAGAAGATGATGAATTTTACGACGTTGGCCGTACGGAATGGATTACGGATATAGATGAAAATATGGAAGCAAAAATCAAATGGCCTCCTTGCAATGCAGGGAAATTTGTCCAAAAAGAATTACCTGCATCTCCAGATTGGATAGAAGAACGTATAATTATTAGAAAATTTTATGTAAGTACAGAAAACACAAAAACTTTGCTTATGTGATTATTGCTTCTTTATAAAGGAATCATAGCATATTTATGTATTTTTTCTTAAAGATTTATGTCTTATATTCTTTTTTATTCCGGTTTCCATACATTGTATTTCTAATTTATAAGATGCACGCATTAATGCCATAATTTCGTTAAGGGAATCATAGATGATTCAAATTATGAAACAGACAAGAATTTGGTAAGGGTATGAGAAAGAAAAAAAGAAAAATTGTTTTTTTGATTCATCAGAATCAGAGAAGGAATCAGACAATAACAAAGTCCCGTAAATCTAAACAATTGAAAAAAACAACAAAAAACAATTCAAAAAATATACTAATGTCTCAAAAAAATATAAAAAAAGATAGCGCACCTCCTTCTATTTCTGCATCTTTTGTAAAAGTACATGCATGTTATCACCAGAAAGGCAGTCAAAAACAAGACAGCACATAAAACAACCCAAGTTACCGTTAAATATTAAAATCTCAGAATCTTCAAAGCAAAGCCATACAGACACTATAAATGTTCTCAGAAATATAAAGGGAAAAGAATAAAGAGTCAGATAAAGAACGCAATTATTTGAAAGGTTAAAAAAAACTGGACATGAAAAATTACTAAATATGAAGAAAAAGCTGCTTTATCTTCTATGCAAGAAACTCTACAAGAACAAAAATATATGAGATACAAGAAGCAATTATACTATCTCCTTTAAAAGAAAAGGAAACTCCACAGAAGAATGGTACTGTAGATAAATTTATAATATCTAACTGAGTAAAAAATTATCTGTTAATAAGAGTATTATTTCAGATAGAAGCTACCGTTCTCCGGTACATAAGCTTAGTTCCAAATTGTTGTAACAATAGCAACCAAATCATTTCATTATTTAAAATCCTCCACGAGAACAAATATAATCCTCTCCATAAAAAAGCTTCAGAGACAGAAAGTATACCGCTTATCTCACTTAAGTCCTAGTTTATTACAGCAGAGACACGTAAAGGAAATGAAAGTAAGCAAAATGCATGTTTATATATAAAAAATATATATTAACTAATTGTAAGATAACTGTTGGATCTTACTGCATTTTTTAAAACTCCACGGGAAGAATAATAATTCCTCTCCATTACAAAAGTTTCAGGGACAGAAAGTTATACCGCTCATCATTTAAGTCCTAGTTTATTACAGCCAGTAACACGTAAAGGAAATGAAAGTAAGCAAAATGCATGTTTAATATAAAAAATATATATTACTAATGTAAGATAACTGTTTGGATCTTACTGTCATTTATTAAAACTCAGGGAAGAATAATAATTCCTCTCCATTAAAAAGTTCAGGGACAGAAAAGTTATACCGCTCATCATTTAAGTCCTTAGTTTATTAACAGCCAGTAACACTAAAGGAAACGAAAGTAAGCAAAATGTTTAAATGGAAAAATATATATTACTAAAATAACTGTTGGATATATTTTTAAATATTAAATAATATATCTCTAAATAAACATTTTTTTCTATGATTAATTTCAGAAGATTCATCACTACAAACTATGCTTGCTAATTGTATTTATAAATTAGATGAAAATATGAAAATTACAAAACAAATTAACAGCAAAATGGATATTTTTATTATGAATCAAGAAAAACTACACCGTTATTTACTCTCCCTGGAGAAAAAGTTGTTAAACGCCCTAGTCTTCCATCTTTTTCCAGTGAAACGAGCATGAATTGAATCAAATGGAAGGAATTTCTTAAAGATGATAACAATTTATCAGCAGCGGTAAGTTTAGATCAATAATATATAATTAATATTTTTTTGAAGCCAACTGCACAACTGGTTGCTCGGGTAATTGCGGGCAGTCAAAAATAATACTTGTGGCCGTGGCTATTAAATTTTAAGATAAAAAAGATAATTTTTAGATAAAATAATTTATAGAAGAGAAGAGTGTAACATGACAAAAGAGAAGATAAGTTACAGACGGAATTTTATATCAATTTATACCATACAATTTATTTAAAAAGAAAATTATTAAAGAAGAAATTGTGTCCACCAATGCTCTTAGTATCGCGTGTTGCCTATGCAAACAGCATTATTGATGTTTTTTCAGTTGTACAGGCCTGGTTTACATTATTGTGCACGTTTAAGTTATAATTATTTTATTTGACAAATAATTTTCTATTTCCAGACCTTTTATTTTGCAAAATTTATTGACCCAAAAAGCATAGAAAATTCTGTCAGAAAATTGCTATCGAAAATTTTAAGTAACTCTGTAGCTAACAATTATAATTTCCATGGTACACGAGGAAAACAAAGATTTAAAGATCTTAAGATATGGGAACTAGTACAAGGTAAGAATTTATTGTTGTTAATATTCCATTTTGTTTCTTAGGTAATACACGTCATTTTATTTTTGATTTATTTTGTATTAAGAACTATACTGCACACGTAATTTATTTGTCATACTTATTTATATTTTATTTTATATACTTTTTGTTTGAATGTTTAGGTGCTCTAATGACACGCTTTGAAGCAAAAGATTTAACAGTATGTGACAAAGTTGCTAGTACTTGGCTTGCAAATGCACCATGGCGTAAATAACATGATGGCAGTGTGTAGAAGAGAACTGATATCTACAATCAATGCCTAACGATGAAGAAAAGGCAATCAAAAGTCCGGTTTTAGGTCAACTATAGAGAATTTTCTTAGGCTGTGCTCAACGCAAAATTGTTATCAACGCTGCAAATGTATTTTATACGTAGGTCCTTGGCATAGCCGTAAAATTCTCTCTAAATGTCCGCTGCTAGTCAACTGCTCGGTTTATTTTTTGGACAACTATAAGTACAACGCACGTAAGCATTGTGAAACTGAAAAAGAATATAAACGACTGTAAACAATAAATTTATTAAATTTGCAAAAAATTTCTTTATAAATGAAAGCAATTATTAAATAATTTCAAATTAGTGACACTAGCCACACCGTTATATATAGATCAACTTGACTATCAGCATTGCATAGTGACGTATATTAATGATGACATTTCAGAGAATTTTTTTGTATTGGAAGAATAGCTATAGTGCCAGGGACTTGAGTTTACGTAAAGTAACGTGAATTATAACTGACACTGCGCTGGCTGGCAGTAATTTTGAAATACAGTTTTATATAAATTGCTGATCATTACTGGCGACAAAAAGTTTAAAGTTTTTTTTGTTTATTTTGTTACTATAGTACAAAAATGTCTGTTCTGTTATAATAATAATATTTTATTCTAAATAATTAGTAATATTTTGAATTAATAGTAACATTTTGAGTAATTATATTAGTAGTAATTGTTAGAGTTTACATTGGAAAAAAAAAGATATACAGCCAGTTTAACCATAAAAAACGGATTCTTTTTTCAAGTTACACTTGTAACTACTTTGCATTTTTTGGCTGATTTTTGCTTATTGTTTAATTCTTTTTATTTCTTGCTACGAAACTAGGCCACAAGCCTGTCCTAAGTCATATAATGCTGCTGTGATTTAAATGCAATTTTATTTAAGAGAAATATTTTAAATATAGTTTTAAATATGAGTGCATAACTTATAATTGTTAGTATTTATGCACTTATTATACATTAATGAGAGAAATTTTCTTATATATGTTACACATAAGTAACATATATGTACTTATATTACATATAGGTACATATTGTAAGTAATTATAAGTAAGTTAATAAAATATTTGAAGATTATTTTTGAGACAAACATCTTACATCTGATTTTAAATTTTAATTTTCTTTTTAACTAGATTAGATTTTTCTTTGTAATTATGTCTAAATTAAATTTTCTACAATGACATTTTGATTAATAAGTTACTTTATAATTTGTTAAAATTCTTTTATATAAGTATACATATAAGTACATATTGTAAGTATAAGTAATTATAAGTATAAGTTAACGAAATATTTATCAAGATTATTTTTGAGGCAAACATCTTATATACAACATCTAATTTTAGATTTTAGCTAGTTTTATTTCTAACTAGATTGGATTTCTTTGTAATCATAAAATGTTCTCGCTGTTTCTAATAAAATTTTCTACAGTTAATTTCTTAATAAATGATTTTAAAAATTGTTAAAATGTTTTTATATATAAAATGTTTTTATAATATTTATTAATCTTTAATTTTTTGTTGGAAACATTTGCAAACATTTATTTTAACTTTTTCTTGCTTAGATTTTAATTTATAAAAATATACAGAGTATTTGCATTCAAAACTTGCACATCATACATTTTCTAAAGATCATTTTAAGCCGAAATTCTAATGCTCAATTCTTAAGGATATATAATAATTTTTATATAAAAAGCATTTACAGTTGGTTAATGAGATTGCCTAAGTTCACGCGCTTAGACCAGCTTTAAATGTTTTTTATTTAAAAATTATAATATATATATATAATATATATTTATATATAATATATATATATTATAATATATTTTATATATAATATATAATATATATTTTTTTTTATGTATTTTGGCATTCAAATTTTTTCTTAAAATGATTTCAAAAACGGCTGATGTGCGAGTTCTGGGTCATCCTATATAATAAAATTTATATTAAAATCTAGTAAAATAATCAAAAATACATCATTATTAACGAAATATGGATATCAATAAAAGATCGAAATTGTGCCCACCAGTTGATCGAATTGATGTAAAAATCGATTGCAGATTGATTTAGTCAATTTGACATCAAATCGATAACTTTTTGATAATTCATTCCTCACTGGGTAGTATCGTATCCAAGAATATGCAGTTGTAGCATAGCAACCATAAATGTTACCCAATTATTTGTCCAAGCAATATGTCCTTTGTTGCATGAAAGAGATGCGCTTTTTAATCCACGGAACCAGCCATTATACTGATAACCACGTAATTTTAATTCTTTGTAAATGTCTCGAGCAGTCATATGTTCTTCCTCATTATCATTCTCCGGCAATAGGTTGTTTGGAATCATTTCTTGTTCTGGATTCGATATAGTATGTACTATACCTGTTACTACAACGCTATCTCCTTCAATAATTTCAAATTTTCCGCTTTCTGTAATATTTTATATTTTTGATATTACACATAATTATGAAATCATATGATTTTAACGTTACTATTCAAGAATAATGTAAGAATGATGTAAATACCTTTTTGTATTGTAATTGTCAATTTTACAATGTTATTCGATAAATGAGTAGCACGAATAAAGCTTATATCTCGAAATATTATCGGCATAGTTGTATATGTTTTTCCTTCTATCATGTTGATAGTTTCCCAAACAAGCGCAAGATATCCTGTCGCTGGTAGTAAATTTCTTCCATCGATTACATGATATGATAATCATATAATCGTAGCTCTCATTGCTTAGATTGATTTCGATGTGTCTTTCATTGGATTGTATATACCTCTGCGATTGATAAGTTGCCACAAACCAATCTTCAGAATGATCCCATCTATAAAGAATAATGTTTCCAATATTTGATTTTAATGTTTTTTAATGTATTTGTGGGTATGTTTTTAATGTATTTTAATGTATATAATTTGTATATAATATGTATATAATTTTTAATGTATATATTTTAATGTATATAATTTTTAATGTATATATTTTAATGTATATAATTTGTATATAATATGTATATAATTTTTTATAACATCAAAATCTTATTTGTTACAGAGTGTCCAAAAAAGAAGAGAGAGAGGGAGGAAGGCAGCAAGAGAGCGAAAGAAGGAGAGAGGGAGGGAGCGAGAGAAGGGAGATCGAGGGAGCGATCGAACAAGGGATGATCGAGAGAGCGATCGAACAAGGGAAGGAGGGGAGGCTTGGGAAGAGAGAGAGAAAAATCTTTCTTAACATTGTATGCATATACCTGATAGATGGAGAGATCATAGGAATTCCTCGACTAACTGGAAATTTCACTGGTGGATATAAGTTAACGATCTGCGGCTGTAAGCTACAATTGTAAAGTTTTCCAATTCCTCGCATAGTTACATTGGTGACATTTTCAGTGCGCTGAGTCAATACGATATTCGTCACTTCTGGATGTAAAGATTCTTTCAAAATATGTTGCAGAATACCATCCGGTGCAATTTCAATAGTCACGGCGTTAATTGGGATTAACTTCGTTGCTTGTTTAAACAGAACAGTATTTAATATACTACGCGTATGATAGTTTGCTGAAGATAATTTCGTTGTCGTATTGGACCATTCGATGCAAGGTACAGAAATACTGATCCATCTTGAACTTCGCTTTTTCGGTTGTGGTATTACTTTGTTCAAATTAAATAAAAGTTGAGTTTCCACGGGTGCGAGATAATGACTGTGATATGGTATATCGCAAGAGATTTCTTTCACGTTAATATTATTAATCTGACAAAATGAAATTAATTAATATAAACAAATATAAAACAAATTAAAATAAACTCTTAAAGTTGTATATTTTTATAAAAAAAAAAATAAAAAATTAATTTAATTAAAAATTGAATTCATAAATAATACCTGTAATTTTTTAATAAATTCTTTTATGGATCTTATGGGTCCAGTTATAATATTACTGTTTCGGCTATTGTAACATACTATTTCAATATTTGCTGGACATATATTTTTGAGAGATTCATAATTAAGATTCACAACTGCCATAGAGCTGTGAATCACATTTTCTTCGATACAGGCCAAACCAATAAAATATGCCGATAAAATAGTTTGTTCAATAGTTAAACATTTATCTGCATATGCACAACCAAGTTTACCAGCCGAATGACTAATCATATAATCTGCATTAATTTCTAAAGATGTTAGAAGATCTACCAATCCAATCTACAAAGTTATAAAATTATATTAAAATATAATATAAATATAATAATATAAAATATAAAATATAATATTCAAATATCTTTGAAGGCAGTTTCTAATGACTCACTTTATGTATACAATTTTCATATAAATTTATACATTTATAATATTTTACCTGAATGGCAACGATGCCTATAAATATGTGTAAACTGCTTTGGCATTCTTTTCCGTCTTGCTTTAACAAAATATCCATAATATTTATATCATATGATTTTAAAGTAGCGTCACATATTTTTATAGCATTTGCAAAGGCATCCAATTTTAATAAATCTTGACCTGATAAAGTTATAATTTAGATGTTATATCATTTCATGATTTAAGTGTGCTATTATATATTAAATATAGAATATTTTATATATGTACCCATTTTTGGCCACTGCGCGCCCAAGGCAGAGAATATAAACCAAATAGATCTTTTTACATTCCCATTATTTTGGATTTCCTTTATTGAATTTTGTTGCAAATTGTCCAATATAATATATCCTCTCCATGGATGATCCTCTATATTATATGCATATATATCGTGTAATAAACGAATATATTCGACATCTGTCGAATGGTTAGCAACCTACAAGACAAACAATTTTTTAAAATCTTATATACTAGACATACACTCTCAACAAAATTAAAAGATTATTTAAAATCAACGCATGAAGAAAAGATCACATTCAAATTCACATATCTTTATGAAAAAATATTCGTAGAGCGATATTAAAAAAGCTGATAGCCTCAATTTCTTAATAATTCAACGCGCGCAATAATTATTTTCACTAAAAATTTCACTAGAAGCAATGCCTTTTTTTAAAACAACTTTACAAAATTGAAAAATGCTATGATGGCGTGTACGAGGAGAAAAAATTTTTATTCCAAACAATTTTAATTGCATCGTAAAATGTAACATTTTCTCTTTAAAATGCGTTTTTAATCATAACGCTATGATTTTTTTTTTCATTAAATGATTATTTGAATTGAATAATGCATGTTTCTTATTTAAAAATCTGTATTGCAGCTGTTAATGGCATTACTCAAGATGCAGGCATGTCACAAAATCTATTTCGATTTGATTTTGTAATTTTATTATTATTTTATCCTTAACAGACAATCATTTCAAAGTTTTTATTTATACATACGATATCACACACAATATTGTCTTTAATATATTGTTCTGAAAAGGATCTAAAATAGACTGAAACGTTTGGATGTACAATTTAATTATGCGTATTTATATTAAATGATATTATACATTTGAGAATTTCGCTCTATTAAAATGGTTTTTTAATGGTCCTTATAGCCTTTTTCTTACTTGTTTGATTTATACAGGGTGTCTAATAACTTTTTACAGTCCCGAAGTGTGAAGGTAGATTGGCTCAAATTAAGGAAGGTCCTCTACCAGTAATGCCAGTTTCAAGACGCTGCCACCACCACTACATGTACAGGAAATAGCGCACACAAAGAAAGACCCGTGTCCGTATCTGCTCTCTTCTATTACCGAAGCTAGCCGAGCGCTGGCCGTCGTGTACGGAGACGGTTCTTTCTTTGTGTGCGCTATTTCCTGTACATGTAGTGCTGGGGGGCAGCATCTCGAAATTGGCATCATTGTCCTCTACTGTTTTTCATTAATTAAAAAGATCGGCCAATCTGCGTGAGTAGAAGCGCATAGCGATGAGAGTCGTCCCACTGTAACCATATATTAGGTGCGCAGCGAAGTGAGTGGGGAAGGAGTGATAAGTCCGGGCCGCAATCATCATTCGCAAAACAGTAGAGGACTTTCATTCTTAATTTGAGCCAATCTACCTTCACATTTTGGGACTGCAAAAAATTATCAGACACCCTGTATATATAGGATAGAGTGTATCCTAACATGTGGGACCCACTTCAGGGATGAATAGGGGGCACCAACAATGAAAAAAGTTCATATTAACATGTATGCTATTTGACCTTGTTACAAAGTTACAGGACGTTTAATATTTAAATAACCGGCAACCGATTACATTCATATAAGGTGCTCTAAATGGCTATCTCTGCTCTAAATGCAAGCATTCGCTGTATCAAAGACTGTCGCACTCTTTCAAATATTCCAGATGTATATCTGATCTGTTGGCAAGCTTCTTGTATACATGCACGTAGAACTTCAACACTGGCAATAGGTGCAGAATACAATTGCCTTCAAGTGGCCCCATAGATAAAAATCCCTAAGGTCAGGATATCCAACAAGTTTGCCTACATCTGAAAGATATTACATATTGCGAAATATCCTGATTTGCCGGTTATTTAAATATTAAACGTTACTTTCGTAATCCTGTAACATTGTAACAAGGTCAAATAGGACATACGTTAATATGAACTTTTTTCAATGTCAGTGTGCTCCCTATCTATTCCTGAAGTGGGTCCCACATATAACGTATCACGTATGGGACCCACTTCAGGGATATACAGGGTGTCCCATTTTAACTTAGACAGTAAAATATCTAAAAAATTAAGCCCAGCAAACAAAAATGTTTCAGACAAAAGTTGTATAGTTTCGAGGGGGACATAAGGTGCCATTGTTTTGACCTTGAAAAGTTATTTGAAGGTCACATGAAGGTCTTAAAAAATTAACTTAATTATAGTGTTTTGAAAAGCTCTTGAGATAAGCTACACGAATATGTAATAAAAAATAGGGAGTTCCATTTAAGAAATTGAAGATGACTTTTACGTCACCTTCAAATGACTCCTCAAGGTCAAATCATTGCCACTATCTGATGGCCCCCTTCAAGCCATACAACTTTTGTCTGAAACATTTCTCTCTAAAATGCATAATTTATGAAATATTCGACCGGTTCGGGATTTTTGGGACATTCTGTATATGGTGGTGAGTAAGTTAAAGTAAAGATTTACCGTTAATTTAAATATTTATTAATATGAGGAAATGTTGTTCAGAAGTCGTTCGTCATAAAGCTGATAATATACGATTTTAAGACGTACATATGAGGTGTACATAATTCCGATCAAGTAATCTTTCCATGATATATGCTTTGAATATTATCAATACTAGAATACTGATTTTTAAAAACAGAACTTGAATATGCACTATTCACTTCATTATAATTTAGTAAAAAAATCATAGTATTATGATTAAAAATGCATTTTTAAAGAAAATGTTAAATTTTATGATGCAATTAAAATTGTTTTGGAGAATAATATTTTCCTCACACGTCATTATGGTTAAAATTTTCAATTTTGCAAGCTTACTTTAAAGAAATGTTGCCTGTAGTGAAATCTTTTGTTGAGAAATGTGTGTTGAATCATTGAAAAGTTGAAATTTTCAGCCTTAAAATGCTCTCTTAAATATTGTTCTATAACTATTTTTGTCAAAGATACGTGAGTTTAAATTTGCACTCCCTTTTTATGATTTTAAATCATCTTTTAATTTTGTTGAATAATATATTTTCTAATTATTGTAAATAATGTTGCTTTTGAAATAAAAACTAACATCATTTAGAAACGAATTTACTGATTCTTCAGTGCGTCCAGACAATATCAATACAAGTCTTGACAAACCATTGTCCGGTGTTGCGTTGTTAACTTTCTGTTTGGTATTCCATTCTAATAGCATATGAGCATTGGATCCCCCAAATCCAAAAGAATTAATGCCGATGTAACCATTCTGAAGTGGTATTGCTTCTGTAACCACATGTATGACTCCATTTACAAAAGCATCTATATCATCTCGTGGTGATGTATAATTGATGTGTGGTGGAAAACCGGTTTCGAATGCTATTATTACCTTAAAAAATTATTGAAATTAATTAGATAAAAATACGTATTTTGTTATGTGTTTTTTTTTAAATTATCCGAATAATGTCATTTTAATTGCAAACCTCTCATTAATTTGTGAAAGGATTAATATTTTAAAAACATTTTAATTTATGTGTATAAGTGAAAATTTTAATTTATGTGTATAAAAATCAATCGTCACAAATAGATAAACATTAAATTTCGAAATTCTTTTGCTCGCTCGCAATGCAGGAATAATAAAAAGATCTTTTTATTATATAAGAGATAAAATCATTTATCATGTACGCGGAATTTACTGTATATTATTTTCTTTTATAAAAACATGAAAATATCATTGGATAAATTATTTTCAGTCTACCTTACCGATCTGAGTGAAACCACTGGCAGGTTCAGCGTGACCAAAATTGGATTTTACAGAGCCGATCATCAACGGAGCTTTTCTATCCTTACATAAAACAGTATAGATAGCATTGATTTCTTCAGGATCGCCCTAGTAGCGGTACCATGTGCTTCTATGTAATCTAGACAAGATGGTAATATATCTTCCTTCCTCCCTTACAAGGAATGCTTCCAAGCATAAAAGAATTTATGCTACATGTAAACATATTAAACATATTAAAATAAATAGCGATGGATACAAGCAGGAGGGAATAACGTTCCCATCGACACATATACAAAGCATTTTATTGAGAGTTTTACAAGGAATGCTTCCAAGCATTCAATAAAATGCTTTGTATATGTGTCGATGGGAACGTTATTCCCTCCTGCTTGTATCCATCGCTATTTATTTTAATATGTTTAATATGTTTACATGTAGCATAAATTCTTTTAGCATTTTTTGCCTTTTGAAGATATAGCACAGACAAGATTTCACTACGCGAATATCCGTTAGCAGCAGCATCAAAAGGCAACCATCGGATGACAAAACACCTAAAATAAAATATGTATTTTCACATACACATACAAAATCTGACGAGATATTAATTAATTTTAGCAAAAATGCCAAGAGAGAATTGCAGATTTATGATGGGATGTAAGCATAATTGTGAGGTTCCAATTATGGCATCTTCGCATCGACCTGACATGATATCACGATAACCAAGAGCCATGGCATAAAAAGTGGAGCTGCATGTTGTATCGACTGTATAAGATGGCCCTTTCAAATCCAAAATATATGAAAGCATATTTGCTACTATAGATTTGCTACATCCCACAATGCCTAAACCGTCTACCTAATCATAGGAAGCAACGATAAATTTTTACATGTGAATTCGATAACTCTTTATAAGGAATTCGATAACTCTTTATATCAATTATTTTCTTCTATATTTAATAGTCAACTTTCTTTACCTGAAGATTCTCATACATAAATCTCTCTTGCGATTCCAGAAAACTTGTTCCTATAATCACGGCTGTATTTTTTCCTCGCAATTGTTTTGGATTGATCCCAGCATCGACAATTGCTTCATAAGTATGTTCTAATAATATTCTCGTCATAGGATCGAGCGTGTGTGCTTGCTTGAAGCATACGTTAAAAAAATCAGCATCAAATTTTTCTACATTATTAATTATTCCCATCCGTTGTGGTAAATCTGGATGCTCTAACGAATTATGACTTCATAAAGATATGTGTTATAATACATTTATATAATACAATTTCTATATTTCTATATATTTCTATATTTTATAGTATATTTTTAATGCTATATATTTAATGTTATATTTTTTAAAATTTTAATTAAAAACATATTCTTATAATATTTTGTAATTATTGAAAAAGAGAACACATATTTTATGTTACCCAATCACAAGTGAAATTATAAATTTTAATTACCTATTTTCCATCGGCAAGGATCTGTTCTAAGAAGATCAACTTTATTGAATAGATTTTCTTGTAAATGATTGTTATTTGAATTTGGAAATCTACCAGCAATACCTGAAATAACGATTTCATCGCCAGAATCAATATTAATGCACGGTCTATATGTTTCTTCCATCACAATAAACAATTATTTTCATATATATGTTAATCTGGAATAATAAATGGAGTATACACACACACACACACACACACACGCACACGCACACGCACACGCACACGCACACGCACACGCACACGCACACGCACACGCACACGCACACGCACACACACACACACACACATGTATACGTATATACTTTTTATATTTTGTTTTATACACATATATATATATTGTCCGGAACGAGGACTAAGAGATATATCGAAGACGCGCATTAAAAAGAACGGCTGTTGCGAATCGCGTTAAAAAACACTTTTAGAAAACACACAGGAACTTTAATGCGAAACACAGGATTAATAACACAATAATGGCTCGTATATGAAAACCGGATAGCTTGACAACTATATTTTGATTCAGCTCTTTTCTTTTTAACAATCCTTAACAACCAGATGTTCATTGTTTGTGCCGACTTGACGATCACGAACATCAGAAACGTAACAATATATAAAATGTTGTCAAGATAGAATTTGATATTTACAATATTAATGCGTAGTTTACTCTACAGTGAGAAGTAATTAAATAACAGAGCGTTAAACTGTTACCTATAATAATAGATAGACCTATATAAATAGATTTTTCCTTTTAATTATGTTGATTCTTGCGAATGTATAATTAATAATGTATCACATCATGTATTTTTAGTCTTCTTTATAATTTTGTAACTCGAGGCATTTTCAGTTGAACTTATGCATATGTCATTCAATAATAAAATTCATATAATACGAGATAATTTGTAATAATTGTGATCAACACAGGATATAAATATTTTTTGAGATATAAGAAATATACTGTTTAAAATAAATAATAATAAAATAAATAGTATTTTTAATATTTTTTGATATTAAAATTACTAGAATTATGAAATTTGGTTACTCTGATTTTCTATTTATAATATTAAATTATTTATTGTTTTATTAAAAAAATTTTAGTCAAATAACAAATTTGATACGATTCTTCAATATAAAAGTATGAGTATCTTCTTTTTAATGCAATTTTATTATAAAAAATAAATTCAAATAGATAAAATTAATTGTAGATATTAATGAAATTAATTGTAATTAATGTATATATGAAAAATTGCATACATTAATTAAACGTATAACGTTTATGTTTATTTATTTACTTTTGTATTAAGCTTTTAATTCCTTTGTTAATTTTTTTTTTAGAAAAAAATAAGGAAAATATATATACGTACATACATATGTAAATTTATAGCGAAGAGAATTAAAAAAATATAAAATGTATATACGTACATACATACATGTGTAGATTTATATTAGCTAACAATAAAAGAATTATTTATATAGATGAAAAAATGTATGTGAAAAAGATTTAAAAAATATCACTGGGGGAGGGGGGGGGGAACATTCGGGTGTACTTTTGCGACTATTTAACCTTTCTAGTATAATATTTTGATTAAACGCTTATAATATAAACATATAATACAGGGTGTCAGGAAATTTTTCGCAGTACCCAAGTGTGAAGGTAAATTGGCTCAAATTAAGAAGGAAAATCTTCTACTGTTTTGCGATATTCGCAATATATAAATTACAATATTAAATCTTATTAAGATTTTGTAAGACTTAATAGATATTGCTTATTGATATTTATATAGTTTATATAAATTATAATAAAAGTAATTGGCTTAATGGACAAAATGTAGTTATATTAATTTTTTGATATTTGAATTAAAATGAATGTTGTCACGGATGAATTCCGCGAGATTTATCGTCGGATAGCGGGAATCGGAAATCCGGGTTCGGTAGATCTTGAAATGAACGAGAGCGTGAGTGAGGTAACAACAAAAAAAGTTTATTGTGTGTACGTAATACAAAGTGTGTGTGTGTGTGTGTGTGTGTGTGTGTGTGTGTGTGTGCGTGCGCGCGGGTGTTTGTGTGCGCGTGTCGTGCATGTGATTTTGTGTTCGAGCGCGATGTTCGGCGCGAGACATAGATTAATTATTTGGCGCGTTATGCAGATGTTGTGTAAGCGTGTCGTACAATACTATCGCTTTTATTTAGGAATGGTACAATAGTTTATAATCGTGTGTATTGCAGTGATAATGCGGTTTCGGATCGTATCGATACCTTTAAATGATATTTACGTCTTGTGATTCCGGCGCGGTCAATGACCGTTTGACGTTGCGCGTATAGTATTTTTCTGTATGCGCGTTCGTAGGATCCGTCTAGCCGGCTTTTTGTGTTGTTTACGAGGAACGCGCGCTATATTTCCGTGAAATGTGTCGTATGCGTTTACGCGGAATTGTCTCGGTAATTCCCGATAAATAAGGAGAATTTTTCGGGAACGCAGTGCTGACGAGAATAACTCGTCCGAGGTAGCTCTCCTTTCTGCCTCGTGAATAGATGCACTAGCGTCTGGCGGTCGGATTATAGACCGGTGGTCGAGAACTCTCGACGGAATCAGAGTGCACTCTGATTCCTTTTCCTGGTCGGATTATTGATCGGATGGATGGATCTTGGTCGAGGATCGAGAGTGATCGATGGAGGAAGAGTTCGCTCTACCTCCTTTCCTTGAAGCTAGATTTCTTTAGATAGGAGCGGTCTAGATTTCGGAGCTGCTTCATTGTCGTGAGCGGATCGGAAAAAGGTAATTAGTGTGCCGAACGTGCCGGTACGTTTTGTACCGGCTAATTGCCCGCGTCGGCGCGCGGCGTTATTACCCCTTCCGAACGGGTTACAGAAAGCGGTACGGTCGGTGGCCCGCTCGGAGGGATTCGGGGTGCGCGCCGAGCGCGGGTTTTCGCCGGTCGCCGGATCGGAACACGTCGGCAACACTCGGCGGTATTCGGCTCTCTTTCCGAAAGAGTTGAAGTCGTTTAAAAAATGTGGGCGCACCGCGCCCCTGCCTATGTCCGGCGGGTGTTCTGCCGGGCGGCAGCTTCCGGCGGATCGCATGCCGGGTATACGATGTATTTAAGGGGGTGTACGGGGTGCATCATTACAATGTTAAGAATTGAAATATAAAAATAATCTAATCTGCTCATTATTTGTACTCAAAGGAACCATTTTGTGGATCATGTATATTAAAAATTCCTTAGGAGATTGTTGCTTGTCTGTAAGATATTCCACAACACCTCTAATATTTTGAAGAGTTGGATCCAGAAGTGCTCCGCAAACATGAGTTTCATGAATTGGAAATCATTTTTTTATGTTTTGAGAAATAGTTTCTTTAAGCTGTTTTACTATGTATGAATCATCTTCATTTACACATACATTACTTTCAATTTCTGCCCTGGAAAAATTAAAGAAAAAATGAGTGAGAACATATATCAATGGATTTTATAATATTGTTTATAATTTTTCTATATGTATTCAAAAATATCAATTACAAACCTAAATAAAAGTGCAAGATTGGTTATTGGATATTCCCAGAAAGAATTTCTATTGCTGTTTTAATACTTATTAAACAGCTTGCTATACCTTCGATTTCTATCCACTCATTCTGTAGAAATTGCATCATAACGTCTAATCATTTCCAAGCAGCGTATCACTACTTCTGAAAAATAAATTGTAACATTTGAAAAAAAACTATTAATATGCAATCGATAAATTTTCTGATATTATTATTTTTAAAACAGTAAATTTACAATTGTGCAATGAGAAAAATATTTTCTTCGTTTAACTAATGTAAGTTATATCAATCATATACACATGGCAAAAACTTACTGCAAATAATATTATAATATTATAATAATGTATTATAATAATATTAGTAGCTTACCTTTATTTTTAAGTAAACTCGATAACATTTCTAATGTACTATTCCATCTGGTTGGTACATCTTTATGTAATCCTGAAGGTGTTACAAATGGAGGAAAACTTTGTGCATATGAATGCTCGTCATTATTCAAAAATGTAAAATCAAATCTTGCATCAGTTTCTAAAATTTCTTCCAAATTTTTAGCACTGTCCAATATGTTATTAATATCATCTTGCTGAAGAATTTCTTTTACTTTTTCAAACTCGTGAGTTTTAAGAACCAGAATTTTTACAATAGTTCTAGCCTTAATTATGAGATTATTAACGTCTGGTATTTTTGAAAGAGTGTCTACTATGACTAGATTGTGAAGTCTATGTGCAACACAAGGTAACCTCTCAACTTTTATATCTTTTGCAGCTTTAATCATATTTGCTCCTCCATCAGTTACAAGAGTTATAATTTTATTATTTAAATTAAATTATGTTAGCCTTTTTCAATTCATTTTCTGCAACAATATTATCTGCTGTATGAGGATGCCGTAAGAAACTTGTTTGTAATGTACAAGATCTCAACTGTGTTTCTGTGGGTGACATCCAATGCAATGTGAACGTCATAAATGGAATATGACGATAATTATCAGTCCATGCGTCCATAGTTAGTGAAATAGCACTTGGGTTATCTTCATTAATTTTTGCTTTTACAGCAAATACGCAGTCATTATACACTCTTGAGAGTGAATTACGAGATAATGTACATGGATGTGGCAGATCCAATTCATTTTTTATAATACCATGTATTTTTAAAAAGTCTTTAAATCCATCTTTTTCAGCTGCATAAAACGGGATAAGATCTCTACAGAACCAAATAGTTATGCTATCACTTAACTCTTTTTTTTTCTCATTAGTTTTTAAAGATTTAAATTGTTCAGATAATCTGGATCTGGGAGATTGAAAGAATCTCTTAATGTCGCCTTTTTCTGATAAATATGTTGATTTAATATTATGTTCTTCCATCAAATGTGCAAGTAGGTTACCGGTGCTAACCGTTTTCTAGTATCTATATATCTTTCGTTTATCAGAATGCATAAAACATAATTATTTTACAATATTTTACAGTATACATGAAATTTGTCAACTATAATGTTTTTTTTCACTATCTTTAAGCATGCCAAAATATTCTCTGGCGACACTTCGAGTACTACGATTAGTATTTTCAATAAATACTACTAGATTTTTATTGTTTTTCAGATCACTGTTAATAGTTTCATCTGTAACATCATCTGGCTCATCATTATGTATTCTCTCTTCTGTACATTCATTATTAATAAACGACATTTTTTGCTTTGGCTAAAAATATATAACACTAAAAGTTATCGGATAGCTTTTGTATATTTTGGCGAGATTCTCTAATGTCTGAGAAAAATGTCTGAGAAAAATTGCTATTAATTGTACTTAACGATTTCTTATTGAGATATATTCTTTTAGATCTAACAAGACATTAAAGAATCCTGCCACTGATTTCATATTTCAGGGATCACTTTTCAAAGTCTCGTGTGTATGTATATGTACGTATGTATGAGTGTATGTGTGGGTATAAATATGTATGTGATAGAATACTTACTATTTTATGATAAAATAATTCGAGTGACTCTGACAAGCACTTAGTACGGACTTCAACAGCAACATCAACATAAATTCCATCAAACATCGAATCTTTTCTTCAGCTAGAATATTTCCACGCGGATGAAATATTGTCGACAGAGCGACACTTTCCTAGTTTCCCGTCTTCCACGTGTCTGACCGTGAAAAAACGTCGTCACGCGATAATTTCGATATCCTGCGATTGTGTAATGTTCGCACTCCGCGTTTCCGCGACACGATGTGTCTGTTTAATGACAAAGGACAAAAAAACAGACCCGATGAATTAATCCCGTTGTCACACCTTACACAAACTTTCAAACAGTCAAAACTGAGTAAAACATATTCACCATCTTCATCTGTCTCTATTCAGTACTGACCGATTAGAGTTCTCAAATCAAAACTACGCAGGATTGTTTTTATTTGGCGCGCCACATTAATTTTCGGCGGCAGCGGCGGCGGCGGCGTGTGCCGAAAATATCAAAATCGGCGGCGGCGAAATCGATGAACGATAATTTACCGGCGGCGGCGTGGCGCGGCGGCGCAAGGGTCTATCGCATCTATTACTGTCTCGCTCGTTCTCAATTCTTGGGGCCGCTTATCTTTTCGAGCTGTTTATCACGATTGTCAAGTGTGACGGAGAAAGCAAGACAATGAGTAGAGAGCGAGCGAGATGATCTGTCATCAAAGAGTTTCGAAGTCTTTTACAATCGGTTTCTTCGCTTCCTCTATCCATTTGCAATTCACGAAAATGTAAACATCTTACTACAAAGATTAATGTTTCTAAAATTAATATTTTTGAGATGCACGAAAATAAATATTTTAATAATTTAGAATAATAATTTAAAATAATAAGCCTATAATAATTTAAAATAATAAGTTTGCACTATATAAATTATTGCGACTTTATAGTCTGCTAAAGATCAGACAGCTTGCGTAACTGTTTGCGTAACTGGGCAAAGATTAAAGTTACATAAAGTCAAGGTTTTTCGCTTTTGATTTTATAATTATAATTATATGAAGTTAGAGGTAAAAAACTTTGACTTCGTTATTGGTGCAATTGTTTAATCTTTATAGAAACATACATTATCGTTGATAAAACAGTGATTTGGTATAATAAAATGTATATTTCAAAATAATTACATAACTACATAAAGACTTATTTCCGATAATAAAATATAAGTTGGATGAGCTAAAATATTTTCATGTTTAAAATAATTAGCGTAATTATCTCCAGTATAATCAAAACAGTTGACAATGTCTCATGAATCTTTAAGTCTATCAACATCACTTAAGAGGATGCCGGATCTTCCTTTTTTATCGATAAAATTTTGTATACCGAAAACTTTTTATTAGCTGCACAGAATAATAAATACTTTTCCACAATTAAATTACACATAGCAACAAATATGAGAGTGAACCATTTTATGTTCAAAGTAAAAAAAAATATATAAAATTATAGTTTTCTTATTGGCTTCTGACATTAACTCGTAACAATATTAGCTGAATATAAAAGTTTTGTAGTTTGTACGTACAAAATAAGAGCACATTCAACTCGGAATTTCCTGAAGGAATATAAATGAACAGTCAGAAATGCGTTTGGAAGCGTAGTAAAAATAATTTCCGTATAAGTTTCATGCATATGTGTGTGCGAAATCGAGGCACGTGAGTAAAGCAGTCCTGTAAATTAGTTGCTTGCTATCGCAACAGACGGCGCTATAATCGGTTTGTGTGACAAGGAGAGTCAATCTCGTACCATCTTTTTATTTCATCTTGCGTGTATACGTTAGTATACATGTACGCGCACACTAAAGCATTACATTCTTGCGTTTCCTTTCTCGAATTCCGCATCATAGATACTTGCTGTCACGCAATGGCGTAACAATTGTACGCGTAACGAGCTGCGAGAAAACAGCGTTACATATTACGTAGAAAATATTTTGTGTAAGTTATACATGTACACAATGTGTGTGTGTGTGTGTGTGTGTGTTTGTGTGTATGTATGTGTGAGTGGATGTATGTATAGACGTATGTATGCACAAAAGTGATGCGAGAGTTACGTGAAGAAGCAAGAAGATAATAAGAACGAGCAAAATAACAATAAGATCGAACGAGATAGAAATAGCACGAGTAAGGAGGACTCTAGCTCGAGAATCGGATTTTTTTTTCACATTATTATTTTTCTCTCGCTCGCATCTATTACTGTCTCGCTCGCTCCTATTATTGTCTAGCTCGCATCTATTACTGTCTCGCTCGTTCTCGATTTTTGAGTCCTTATCTTTTCGAGCTGTCATGATTGTCAATGTGGCGGAGAAAGCAAGACCATGAGTAAAGACCGAGCGACATGATCTATCATCAAAGAGTTTTGAAGTCTTTTACAATTGGTTCCGTCGCTTCCTCTATCTATTTGTAATTCATGAAAATGTTAACATCTTATAAAATAAAAATTTAAACTTTTATTTTTAATCGGTTCGATTTCATCGGATCGATGAAAATTATTTTCATCGGTTTGAAAATAATTTTAATGAATTAATGGGATTTTTGCGATTAAAATGATATCAAATACAGCGTAAATCGGGTAATTTTCATTAGTCTGATAATACAAGTTTTATAATTATATATTTAACTAAATTTATGCCACTTATATCGTGTTTGATATTATTTTAATTGTAACATTCTCATTATTCTATTCAAATTACTTTCAAATGAATAAAAAATGCATTTTATTTTCTGACATATATTCGTGAATATATACCCAAGAATCGAGAACGAGCGAGACAGTAATAGGAGCGAGCAATACAGTAATAGATGCGAGTGAGGGAAAAATATTAGTGTGAAAGAAAGATTCAATTTTCATGCTCGAGTCCACGTTACTCGTGCTATTTCTATCTCGTTCACTTATTGTTATTTCGTTCGTTTTTATTACCTCACTTCCTCATGTAACTCTTGCATCACTTTTATACATACATACGTCCATACACACACATTCAACCACCCACACATAGACACGCACATACACAACACACACACACAGAGTGTCCGTGAATTTTCGACCTTGACGAAATAAGGAGGTAGATTGGCTCAAATTAAGAAGAAAGGACCTGTATTGTTTTGTGATTGTCACAATAATTTACGAAAAATTAAATAAAGAAGATCGGCCAATCTGCTTGAGTAGAAGCGCGCGGCGACGAAAGTCGTCCTACTGTAATCTAATACTAGGAGCGCGGCGAAGCGGTGGGCGGGTCGCTCTCCGAGACATGATAGTGGTTTGCGATATATCGCAATACCGCGCCGAAAAATGACCCGTCCTTTTAGTAGCGAGAAAATGATGCGCTATCATTTCCACACCACCTTGCGGTAGATAGCATTGTGCGCTTTTTTATAGTGGTTCCCCATAGGTCTATTCCACTCTCAATTTGAAAATTATTCAAAATGCCATTACTATACGCTGAATGTATCTTAAAAATCTGTAAAAAATTGATGGTGACAGTACCTTTACGAAAATTGATTCGTGGTTAAAAAT